ACACACACACACACACACACACACACACACACACACACACACACACACACACACACTCCCTGTCAAAACAGAAAAACCTCTCAACCAGGCACACCATGTTCTAAAATGGTCCATGAAGCACATATACTGAATATATTTTTATATATATACAGATGATACATTAACAAACTTAATAAAATTCTCTCCTGTGGCCTCCAGCATTGTAATTGTGTCACTTTGAGGATGTGATTGAGTGAATACTTCATATTAGATCTGTGTGTTTTAGGTACTTGCTATTTGAAACATTTTAATTTATGATTATCTCATATAGATATTTTATTATTACATTATTATATGTGAGATATAGCTTCTAGCTTATTAATGCCTCATTAGCTTGTTGTGATCTTATATGGCTCATCCTGCATGTGAATGTTTTGTGTCTTTGACAGGTGTCAGGAGGTCTGCAGTGATGAGCGGCGACGAGAGAAGAGAGAGGAGAAGTGCCCGTTTCTCGAAAACTCGGGTTCAGAGGAAGATGTCTTACAAATCCTACAGTACATGGCCACCATACTGGGTAATTATGTAAAGTATAGCAAGATGTGTGTACATATTAGAGGAGGGGAGGGAGAAAGGGTATTCATGCACATGTCTGTGTAGGCTTGATTATGAGTTAATTTGATTATGTGTTTGTCTGTATATTTAGTAAACACTTTCCATCCCTTTTTTTTCAGGGTTTGATTGCACACTGTTGTGTAATTTTTATTCGCCACCAAGAAAAAAAAAGCTGTTTGCATGTCCTTCCAGTGTTCACATTTGTGTGTGTGTGTGGGTGTGAACCATTGACTGTTATTCACATTACCATCAATTCATATTTACAGAATATGTTCAATGCACAATATTTAGCTTCAGTTCAGCCATATGTTCTGCAGAGGAGCTGCTACTGCAGCAGCACAATGTTAAATAAGCTTTGTCTTGAATATGGCATTCCTTGTATAAAAGTAGTCCTGTGTACTCAAAAAAATACCAGTACTATTCAGTATTAAGCCATACATCTTTGCTCCTGCAAATATTTCTCAATAAAACCATCTTTTTAAACAAAAGAATGGATTCCGTCAAAAGAAACTCTGGAGTGTTTTCATTTTGAAACGCATACAGAAATTGTTGCAACCATTTATGTTCAACAGATAAACATGAAAACTAAAGATCTTTTTTTTGGTCACAAACGTATTTACAACATATTTCAAAATATAAGAACTCCAGTGTTTCACTTTCTGAATCCATCAATTAATCTTAACAGGGCTTTGATTGTTATCAACAGAGCAGAAGATGCGCGTCTTCATACTATAGAGTCATTTAGTTTAATACATAATCTGACTTCGAAGGAAATGCAGTAGATAAACCAGCAGCTCTGGGGCCAATAGCATACACAGTGTGAGTGTGGACAACAGACACACAGCTGATCAGCGGCACAACGATAGCCAGTGAGTACAGCGAGCTACGGGGATCGATGGTAAAGACTGTCAATATCGACCAGTAGATTGAGATTGACGGGTTGGCGACTACTGGTCTATGGTGTGAACACTTCACACATGCACCCAAAATCATCCCCCAAAGGCTCCCCTCTTAAACACACAGTAAAAACAAATCTTGTCATAGGTAGTGCGCATGCAGACACAAGTATGCAACTATTTACACATGCAAAAACACACACACACCCAGCATGACTCACACTGGAGGCTTCTACTGTCTCTGTGGCTTTCCATGAAAAAACATATCACACACGTTCACACAGATTGTCCTGGTGAGTCACCCAGTGCGGCTTTGTCCTCCCTCTGTACCATCTAACATCTCTTCCTGCCTCTAAAATATTTTACCTCCTCCCTGTCCTCATCCTCTGTCCTGTCTTGTTGTTGTGCAGAACTACCTCCACTGCATTAACTGTTTTAATTTACCTTCCAATTTAGCTGTCAATCTCCTTTTTAGCTTTCCACCTCACCTCTGTTGGTCTCCTGCCTTTTGGATACAGATCACCCTTTCCATCTCTTTGTACCTTCCCCCCTCTTAGTTGTGATAAAAAATCTTAAGTCCATGTTCAAGTAAATCAAAGCGTAGAGTAAATTTGCGCTGTGCAGGCCATTCAATGTGTAATTATAGTTCATGTTTTTGCAGCTTGTTACACACAAGTAGCAACTGGGAGTTGGAAAGTAGTTAATTCCATTCATCCATCCACTTTATGCTGCTTATCTGGGTGCTACTCATGCTGGAAGCAGGCTGGCCAAGAAGCTCAGACATCCCTCTCCCCCAGCCTCATCCTCCAGCTCTTCCTGCGTAGGAACCCTGATGGCATATATAATCTCTGCAGCATGTGCAGGATCCATCTCCTCCCAGTTGTATGTGCCAGAAATACAACCCCAGAGAGGCGTCCAGGAGGCTTTAGCACTGAAAAAGGCATCTGTGCCTATGACACCTCAACATAATCCCTTCAGTTTAAAAAACAAGAGTTCTGTTCTGAGCTCCTGTCAAAGGTCCTCATTTGTCCCTAATGTCGAGCAAATGCCTTTTGGCCACTTTTTGAGATGAACCAGAGATGAACATTACAGTTATAGACACAAAGCTAAATGTAAAGCTCGGCAAACAAAACCAAACACTACATCAATCAGGCTATCAACATTATGCTCCCATTTTACCCGCTTTAAATACTAGTGGCTGTTCTAAACCTGCCTGTTTGGAATTGTTTGTTTGCTTGGCCTATATTAATGCTGGTTACAGCTGATAAGATCAGTGGTTCTCAAAATACATGAGCCACATACAGATGGACAGATATTTCTGGATTTAGAAGATGCACCATGTTAAACTAACCCTGAGTGAGTTCAGCTAACAGACCAGTTGTGATTTTGTTGTTATTTTTGGTTCTATTTATAATTAATATAAATTTTCGTTTTGCTATAATAATTGAATCATATTTTTTAATTGTAATTCATTCATTTAATCTAATCAAATTAATTATTTTAGCACGGCTGTGATGTTTGATTGCTTTGCTTTTCTGTGGTTAATATGTTGAAATTATTTTTTGCTGCATTTAAATCTCGGCCAAAACCGACCATGGAGCAGAGGTAATGGTTTCTGCATTGCTGACATTCATGTTTTACGTCCCCCCTTTCCCAGGAGTACCATTCTGTGAGCTGCGGGAACATTTTGGAGAGGAGTTCTTCGGCCTCTGCTTTGAGGAAAATGAACGAGTGCTACGGGCTGTAGGTGGTAACCTCCAGGATTTCTTCAACGGCTTTGACGCCATTTTAGAACACATTCGAACCTCCACAGGACGTCGTGCCTCATCGGAGAGCCCCTCCTTCCAGTGCAAGGATCCCCATGAGGAGGAGAAAGGGAGAAGAAAGTTGGACAAAGTTGGAGAGCGAGGAGATGGACGAGGAAAGGTGTTGCTTCTTCACTGTTTCAACCCCGCTCCTGTTGTTGGATTGGTCATGCCGGGGTTGATCAGAGCAGTTGCCAGGCGGATCTTTCATTCAGAGGTTGAGGTGGAGGAAGTGCCTCCTCTAACTCCTTTATTGCCCAATGAAGATACAGAACACACCGACGGCGACTCTACAACTCCAACTGCGTCCCCCACTGCCTCACCCTCCTCGTCTCCGTCCCCTCCCTCCCCTTTTCCAACCTCTGTCCCCACAGTTTGTCTGTCCTTCCAAATCCAAGAGACACAACCTCCTTCCCCCTCCTCCCTCCACAGTGCTGCTTCAGTGAGCACCAATAGGCCTCCTCTCTCTCTGTCCACCAACCCCAGCGACCTGCGCATCGGCCTGGCCACGTTTTGCCGTGCCTTTCCGTTCCACCTCGTCCTGGGGCCTCGAATGGAGCTACTGCAGCTTGGAGAAGGACTGAGGCGACAGGCTCGCATTGAGCCTCACCGGAGCCTCTTGTTCAGGGACTGTTTTGAGATTGTTTCGCCCAAGATGGAGCCTTCGTTCCGGGGAATCCTGCTGAGGCTTGCCTCCCCATTTACCATCCGCACCAGGCCTGACACCTCGCAGACTGGTACCAAGGAGAAGGTAAAGATGTCACACATAACAGATGACACTGTACAGACCATACTTTTTTACCATATACCAAAAATAAGTATTGCACAGACAGTAAGAGATGGGTTATGCAAGACAAGAGGTGGATTGCTCAATGTGCTGTTCGACCATTTTGGAAATCAAACTGTTGATTTGATCCAAATGGCCTCACATAAAGACCAGGTGAAACACTGACCGTCATATACAGAGAAATTCAAAACATGTTTACTTCCTCACCTCTGCGTAGCTGATCAATTGTGGCATGAAGCTGGTGTGAATAAGGGATTGATGGTTTTGAAAAGGCAAAGCAATGGCTGGGTGCACACCCCCTCATGTGGGGGGAGGGGGTTTCTGAAGCAATATTGCCATCTTACAAGCAGGTCTGATGTATGAGTATCTGGCCGATTAAATGCTTGGTAAACTGAAATCCAGACATGCCACCATGAACTCCACTGTCACCCAGAACGTGTTAAAACTGTTGCAGTGGGTGAAATGGCTGGTAGCTTATGAATAACGGTTTATTGAAAATATGGTTCTAACAAAGAATTTTAAATCAATGGCATCTAGCCAGAAGACAATTCTTGGTGATCTCTTGTGTATTTTTCTCGACCTGTATTATATTTTATCATAATGTCCACCTCTGGCTTCACAGATGATACTTAGTAGTAGCAGTAAGTTTCCTGAGTGTTATCCCAGAGACGATGTATAGTGTCTGATGCCTGCACAACTGTGGCTATTTTTTCTAATGGATAATTTCCCCTCTGTTTAAAAAAAAATCTGTCCGCATGACCCTCGTTTTACAAAATATCTCTGTCCAGAGGCAGTAGGTGTCGATAAAGTCCATATCAACGATCTGCCTAATACCAGAGAAGAACATTGTGGTCCAGGTAAATATATTGGGTGAGGCAGACAATTTGGTGCAGTGATGCTACGTTTAACTGCAAACCTGTAGTTCAACCTTGCAGTGCTAACAAAACCTAGAGAAACATGTATATAGCAGCATTGTTTTTTCTGGTGCATACTCTTTACACAAAACAACAGTGAGCATGCAAAACATAAGCTGTTTTGCATTTTTCACAAACACAAGAATAAACAGAAACTGAAAATCTGCTCTTCGGAAGGTTCTTGTAAAACTCTGTTTACGTGTGTTGGAAATATCATTTTTTTGCGGAGTTATAGCAATGTTGTTGCCTGATGATAATATGCGGGTTGAATCCATGTTGAATCACAACCACCGGTGAGGTTTTGCAGGAGTGAGATTTGAACTGGTTCCAATTTGCCAGAAACAATGAATCAATCAGAGTTGTATGCTACATCCAGTTATTCATTGATTGGGTGGTCTCTGCATGCTGTCAGTGACAGCACCAAACATCCTGAAGCTAAACAGAACTGACAGAGAAGAAATTGATCAGTCCGGCTGCGGTGCAGGGCTGTGCGTCTCTGTGTTTGTGTCTGTGTGAGAGAGCCACATGCATCTTGAGCTCAAGTCACACACAAAAATAGGTCTGTTGTTGAACTTTAAAAGTGTTGTCCTCGTCCCTCATAAGAACTAATGTATACATCGTGATGGATCAAGTACACTGACCTGGATAGTACAGAAGGGAAAATAAATGTATTTACAACTGCAGATTCAGGGACAATCAAGGTGCTTTTCCTTGACTTTTTGGAGAGTTGTCAAGATGTCCATCTTTATATACAGCCTATGTATTATTCTGATCACATTGTATTACTTCTGCGTCACTGATCAAAACACTAGACCATGGGGTCATAGCTTGTGTGCTAGTTTTAATAAGCCATTTATAATGTTTAAAATGTTTTCTATGCTAAACGAGTGGGAGTGTTCAGTCACAGCTGTTTTCAGCTCAGGGTTAGCTGAGGTATCTGTGTTCTGGTTCTTTACAGTGGCCTCATAATCGTCTGTCTATCTCCTCCATGCCCATTGAATCAGGGTAGCTGCCTCTTCAGTTCCCTTTTCTGTGTGACACCAGTGATCGGACCTGGCATCGCTGAGGTTTAAGTTAGACACTGCCTCCGAGCACCAAACACCATCTGCTAGACTCTTGAAGGATTTGCGTTGCAGTGTGTTTGCGGAGTGAAGGTGGGTGGACTCTGTTTTTCGTTCTTTTTGCCGTATGAATCTTCTGTCACCTGGGCAGAGAGGCAGAAAAAGGACAGAGAGAAAGAGAGGGACAGGCTGACATTTTCACTAGAAAGGGCAACGAGAGAAGGCGACAGGCCAAGGTAAAGAGGCCACACTCCCCTGTGCTTCACTGTGTGTGTTTGAGTGGCTTGTAGTGGATTTTCAGTTTGACTTCTTCCCTGTTTTTGTCCAGAGCTGTGCGAGAGATGTCCATAAACCTACTGAAAAGGTCAAATGGCCTCTCTCTCTGTCCCTCTGTTTAGTATGAGTGCCGGGGTCAGCACATAGGGGAGTGTACACAGGGTGCACTGTCAGAAGCTCTCCTCTAACCAGTGCATCATCTCAGTTCCCCTCTCTCTACAGTCTCCTATAACATTCATGTAAATCCTCCTCACCAAGTCTTGCTGTCTCTGTGAGACAGAAGTGTAGCATTTTGACACACATTATCATGCATCAGTGTTTTAAAATAAGAAATGGAGTTAATGCGTAAAAAGGAGTAAGTCTCAGTCTTCTCATGGTCAATCTCTGCAGTAGCTTGATGAATTTTCTCACTTTAAATTAAACATTTTGGGCGTTTTTAATTTGTTTTCATATTAGTGCTGGTCAGTGTTGCCTCAACAGAAGTCTCACATCAGCATCAGCAGGATTATTTGCCTAATTTCCCCTGGTCTTTAGACCCAGGTGTAAAGAAAGGTGAGCAATGGTCTGCAGGAAGCTTTTAGCTCTTTGAAAAAAGCTGGACTAAAAGTTCCATGTACTTATGGTTGAAATGTGGCTTAGATCTTCAAACAAACATGTAGCAAAAGTTCTAGCCTGAACTATTAACCTGTTTAATCAACAACAGCTTTTTATAATTGATGTTAATTAAGTTGGATGTTTTTAGCATTAAATCCTGGGTGGCATGGTGGAGCAGTGGTTTGCACTGTCGCCTTACTACATGAAAGAAGGTTCGAATCCTAATCCTTCTGCATGTTCTGTGTGGGTTTTCTTCGGTTTTTCATCCTCCCACAGTCCAAAGAAAGGCAGATTAGGTTTTATCTCGTATGTTTGCCCTGCGATGGGCTGGCGACCTGTCCAGGGTGTACCCACCTCTCATCCAATATCAGACTGAAATTGGCTCCAACTCCATCTGCAACCCAAAAGAGACAAAGCTGTATAAATAACAGATGGATTGAAAATTAAATCCTGATTTTTCAATGATGTTTGCGCCTCAGGTCAGTGGCCAGTTAAAAATGGAGATAGAGGACCAGGAAGATCGTGACAGCCAACAAATATATCTTAGTTTAGGAACCACCAGGATACTTAAAACTGCTGTGTCACATCTGATGTAAAAACAAGTCCTGCTGTATTGTGTTTGTGGGGGTTTCTGTGTCTGCATGTGTGCACCTGCGTGTCAGAGTACAAAGAGAATCTAGACATTAGCACCACGTTTGATCTGTTTCTAGATAAATCAGAGCCGTGACGGTTTGTTTGTTCAGTGGAGAGGGCTTTGAAAACCACTGCCCTCTGCGCCTCGGTCTACTCTTGATACATATACAAACCAGGGCGAATGAAAATGAAGTAATAAAGACAAAAACAACACAACAAACAAACTTTAGTTGGAGAATGTTAATACAAAGCCACATGGAGTAGAGATATCCTGGCTTCATACTTTTCTTATTGAATATCCTGTCACATTGGATGGATGATTTCTGCTTTAAGGTTTGCTTGTGTAATCCTTATGTCAGCATCTGACTTATAGAGACAGATGAAACAGCAACAGCATTCGGCCAACACTGGTGCATTTAGAGGTGATCAATGTGGACTGCTGAGTGTGAGACATCCTAAAACTGGTCTGTCTGTCTCCATGGTCTGTTATTTAGTAGGTACCAACTTCATTATTATTATTGTTAAGAGTTTTCCTTCTTTAAGCCAGGACAAGTTATTGAAGGGACTTTAATCACACAGGGAGAAATCAGAAATCGGACGCATTATGTGGACCATCCATTACTAATAATAATTGGGATGTTGCTTCATAAATGTGTAATTTCTCATGTCATTTCTCAATTCTGTCCATATCTGTTTAGTCTATAATTAATACTCTAGTTGAATGACTTTAGTACATAGAAACCATAGACTGTATATAGAGATGGACAACATGACATCTGCTCAAAAGTGAAGCCAGAGCGAATCGCATAAATCCTGCCTCCTCCATGTTAGTAGATCAGACATCAAAATAAAAAGTCAAAGTACACGTCCAACAAATGTTATTCAAAGATTGTGTCTGTCGTTTGATGTTGTTCTTACACACTGTTGCTTGTTTCAATTTTTCCATCAAGGTTGGTTTAAATGAGTTATTTGAAGCTATAAAAACATAGTGAAATGTTATGATTGATAGCTGAGACAGACACGATCACTACTGCACAAACTCTGGCTCCAAATGATGTCAAAAGGGCAAGATGGAGGAAACCATAGTCGGGATATTTTGAACAAATGTATGTACAATGGGACTTAGTGGAGATGCTTTGAATATCTTTATATAGAGTCTTTGTCTTTTGATTATTACTTATCTCTGTCCGAGAGTGTTTTTAAAGGAATCATGGAACTACATGACTGATGTTCCAGTGTGTGAATGAACTGAAGCCTTTATCTTTGACTCAATCAGCCCTAGTGATCAATTACCTGTACCAAGGTGTATTTAAATGTGACATCAGCATTTTAACCTTCTGCTGACTCTTTAAACTGAAGCAGCCAGGGACAAAGACGGCCTGTGTCCTTGTGCCTTGTACCCTGTGCGTGTGTGTGTTTTGTAATGTGGCATGAGTTTGTGGGCCATGTTTTACTGTGAGTGGGATGCACTGTGAGAGTGCCACACAATATAGCCGGGGTCTCACAAGATAAGAGCGTTGCAGCATTGTGTGTGTGTGTGTGTGTGTGTGTGAGAGAGTGAGAGAGTGAGTGAGAGAGTGAGTGAGTGAGTGAGAGAGAGAGAGAGAGAGAGAGAGGGATGAGAGAGGCTGACTCATTGACTCTTCGCTGCTCAGTGCTTGTTCATGCAAATGAGAGTCTGTTGACATGCCCGAGTCTGCTCACAAACGACAATCCATTAGCTGTCCGTTCCACCTTCCACTATCCTCCTCTCCACCTCTCTCTTTCTCTCGTACCTCTTTTCCAAGTCCAGTGCATCTCCCTCTCTTCATCTCTCTCTCTCTCTCTCTCTCTCTCTCTCTCTCTGCCTCTATTTCCATCTCTGGACCTTTCAGCCTTTTTTTTCCCCCCTCCCCTCGCTCCTGTTCATCCTACTTCAGCTCCCTGTTTCCCACGGCGTTAATAACCTGAATCTGTAATAAATCTGTCATATGTCAAATGTGCAGCACATGGTGCGTAATGCTCAGCCCTCGTGATGATAAGGTACAACATTTTTATATAAACATGTGCCTTGTACACAAATGTCAAGTACGAATAAACAGAAAATAAACACAAATATCCATAGAGAGTGACCGAGAGGAGAATTCAAGGCGATTCTGATTCCGGGCAAGTCCTGAAGTTTCAGGACTGCAATCAATAATACTTATGATAGACTTGATTATAACACATATTCCATTGTAATTTGATAAAGAAAAAAAGACATTGACATTTGTTTTGGTTAGTTTTGGTCTTGTTTTACATGTGAATAATTTTATTTCAAATAGTGGGTTTAAATCAGTATTTGTTTATATATGCATCTAGCTGAAGAAAACTGATGAAACTTGCTTTTAACAACATAAAGGATGTAATATTTTTTATTTTTGCTGCACAAGCGCTCCATACCAACTGTGCTGATGTCCAGTTATATAACACTTGAACAAGAAGCTTGTCTGTGAAGATTTCAGGCGCAGAGCTGCCTTGAAAAAATGTTACCTCCTCGTAATGACAATCCAGCAACCTTGAACAAAAGCTAAGTGTAAATGTGTAACATGCTACAAAGAGTGATCATCACAGCACACTGGACTAGGGCAAAGCATACTGATTTTTTTATCTGCTCTTAAAAGAAACATTTCTGCCTCCCTAAAGAGAAGTCGAGTCTTTCTGCACGTTCTTGTGATGTCTTTACTCCCTCGACAGGCTTTTGTCACGTCTACTGTTTTCCCTTCTTCGTCCTCACATCCTCTGTGTCCCGTCTCTGTGTCACTTTTTTTCCTTCACCACTCTGTTTCCTTTTTCACTTTGTTCACTCACCTCCGTCTCTGCTGTGGTGACAGAGATGCGGGCAGGAGAGGAGAGGGCTGAGTTAAACAGAGACGCACAACTAGGCCAACACAACCGTCTCCAGGGATGTGTGTCCATGTATGGTTTGTATCTGTGCATCTGTGTGCCTGTGTGTGTGTGTGTGAGAGAGAGAGTTTGTGACAGAGTGAGAGGAAATGAGAGTGACAGAGAAACAAACTCAGAGACGGTGAGATGTTGGTATAATTAGACCGACTGTACATGATCAAAAAGCCACAACAACAGTTAGATCATTCTGCAGCAGAAACGCAGTGAAACATAAACAGAAAAATAAAACAGCACAACATCAGGACGGGATGCAGGACGGTTTGATGACGTTTCCTGTCTGACGTTAAGATGAAGTGCAGTCCTCATTTGAGACATTACAGTGCTCACAGGAAAGTCTGGACTTCATAGATTAGTGACCTTTGCTTTACCTTCAGTTTCAGGTTGGCTGATAGTGTGCATCTACAATAGCATGTGCTCACTCCTGTTTATTACGTTCCTCTTTTCATCATTCCTATCTGTTCTCTTTTAGGATTTTATTATTTTATTCTCTTTTATACATATATTTCAATTTTTTTCTCTTTTGTTTGCTTTTATTTTTTTATCTTGAGAATTGAATCTCATTCTCTTTGTAAAATTCTGCCTGTAGTGTTTCATGGTACTTTTGGGAGTTGTGAATTGTGCATTGGTAAACGCATTTCATTACACAGGTATAGACCCACAAAGATTAAATGCAGAGACTGCACGCTGGTCGGCTAGAGGTGGGGAGGTCTCATGGATGGGAGGTGGGGCGTCTTCAAGGGGTGCAGGTGGGTGTGGTCATCTATGGGCACTTCCTTGGCAGGTTCTGAAGATCAGTGAGATAGTGTCTCCACAGTTCCTGTTTTTTATGTGCAGCACCTTGTGTTACATTCGATTGAAAGAAAAGTGCTCTAAGATATAAACAAAATCTGATTGATTGATTGATTATTTTGAAATAATAGAAAACAAGTTAATTGCAGATATCAATGGAAGAATCTTTCCTGCCTGTCCAAAGCAATGTTTCTCTGTTTCTTTTCTTTCTTGTGGGAGAAGACACGGCAGAAACATTTCTTCAAGGAAGGTTATTCATTTGCATCTGGCTCCTGTCTTCCCTGATTTTACTGTCTCCATGGAGATGGATGATAGTAACTTACACTCTCCTACTGCAGATGTACATGCATGTATATACTGCACAGTGAGGAGACCGTTGCCCATTTAAACATATATCCCCATTCATTTATATATACTGTATGTACTCTACATACACTGTACATACAGTCCAGCACATGTGCAGGTGTAATTCAGTGACAGTAGGCATATGTGCTTTTACAGTAATGTGGAGTAACTGTACCTTCCAACTGAATCAATGTGGTTCTCAGTCTGTCAAACAGTAGTTCATACTGACGGCATCATCACATCAAGTTGTGTTTCAGGGAATAGACGTGTTTTGAACTCTGACCCTGTGTTGATAGGGAGCATACGGCATATTGTATGCTGTATGTATTTGTATATTTATGTTTTACCAAACACACACACACACACACACACACACACACACACACACACACACACACACACACACACACACACACACAAATGCCAGTGTCAAATGCAGTGTGTGTTTCCCTGTTGGATATATTCTGCGTAGGGAAACACTGTGTGTGTGTGTCTGTGTAGGCCTCTGTGTGCAGACTATATGTATTATGCAGACATAGGAGAGCCTTGTGCTATAAATAAAACAGGGCTGCTGTGTGCTCACTGGCGGAATAATCTATCTGACACTATGGAGAAGGAATGGGGGAGACAGAAAGAGGAAGAGCGCGGAGAGAGGAAGAGACAAGCAGCCATGTAAGACAGGTGGAGATGGAGAGAAGGGAAAAGAGAGATAAGGAAAGAACAGGAGCAAGGAAGGAGAGAAGCTGAGTGTGGGGGGAGAAGAAGAAAAGTGGTTTATACACAGAGCCCCAAGCAGAGGTGGTTAGCACAATGAAACAGCTAAAAGTCAAATTTAAAAGGGCAGTTATGTCTTTCCTTAACATTTCCTTGGATAATTCGCCACCCAAGACCATTTCACTTTTTCTCTTCCACATATATCTACAAGAAAGACAAGGCTTTCTGTTTGTGCTCATTACACCTGTGTTAACCAGGTCCTGCACATTTATCACTATGTGCAAGTGCAACCACGTGAAACTAATTCTAAGTCATATTTTGCAGGTACTTTTGGGGATAGTGCTGTTTGTGGAACTGGAATCTTGTTCATGTTTATTTAAAACCACATGTCGTGCATCTGATAGAAATATCTGTACTTTACTTTTTGAGTTTGAGTTTGCATCTTAATTCATCCTACACCCAAATGTCTAATGAAAAACATGTATCATAATAGGTCATTCAAGGACATGGTCTGTGTGAGTTAACCCAGTGATTATGACAATGACAGGATTGTCTCCTAAATATCTAGGTCACCAGTTTACCCAGTTTTTACAGTCCCTCTATATGGGTCAGCATGTTCCGCCTGTGCCTGTGTGGATATTCTCCGGCTTCCTCCCACAGTCAAAAGCCAGGCAGGCAGGTTGGGTTAACTGGCTCATCACACTGGGTAAATTATTGGTTGTTTGTCTCTGTATGTCAGCTGTCTGATGGACCGGCAACCTGTCCAGGGTTTATCCTGCCTTTCGTTCCAATGTCAGCTGGATTTCTTCCAGCTCCAGCGACCTTGAAAGAATAATAGATGGTGGATAGACAATGCCTTTTTATATTCTGCGCATCCCTATCTCTTCTAAAATCTCCAGAATAATACACTTTTAATTATGTTATAATGAAAATGACCTCTGGTTGTAGAAAACTGAAACAGTAATAAAGCTAATTCAGTTTCATTTTATGACAAACATTGACTATAAAATCTTCACTGCAGAAAAACCAGGTAGGATGAACACAAGTTTTCTAATTTCACTCTGCACCATGGACTGTTTTTATAAAAAGCTCTGCACACAATGTCCAGCACACAAACAATGAAAAGTAACAGTATATTGTAGAAGTGTTTGAGGAGGACTCACTTATAACAAGCAAACAGGCAGATTTAGAACGGGTGCTGCACACGTCCATACTAATGAAAGCCTAAGCATGAACCATGAATGAGTCTAAATCTATGACTCTGTGTATTTATGCTTAAATTCAGGAGTAACTTTTTCTGAATTATCCGTCTTAACTCCATGTGATTTCTGTCCCTGCCAGGTCATGGAACTGAAGGGTCAGATGATCCACGTGCCGGAGTCCTGCTCACTGATGTTTCTGGGCTCGCCACGTGTTGATAAGTTGGAGGAACTGATGGGCAGGGGCCTCTATCTGTCAGATATCCCCATCCATGATGCCACACGGGACGTTATCCTGGTGGGGGAGCAGGCTAAAGCCCAGGATGGACTGAAGAAGAGAATGGACAAACTTAAGGTAGAATGGTTTAAACCTGGGACCTTTAGTATTTACAAAAAATATTACCATTGTGGAAAAATGGCTCAATCATATTTTTTTTATGAGACAATTATGTGAGCATCACATGTAGTAAGGATGTATAATTATATATGTAATTGGCCCCTTTGAGTAAATTGTGGCCCCTTTATGGCCCCTGATTTAAAAAAATCTCCTGACTAAGTTATAGGTAGAACTGATGACATGATTTGTGGGTAGGTTTAATTGATAATATACTGAAGGCCCCACAGCGTCCTCCTCTTGCATCACCAACCTGCTGCGTTGGTCAGGGTAAATAGATTAACCGCAGAATCAGACAGAAACCAAACTAAAATACTCAGATGACGAGGCACGACAGTCATTGTCTATTACTGTCTACAGTTCTTCACTATTGACCATCAATCTAAATGACATATGACAAACACTAGAAATAGTGAAAACATGAAAAAAAAACAATTCTCCATATTTTGCAGCTATTTTTTGAGCTATCCATCATGTTTGAGACCACACACTGAATTTAAGTCGATGACATCAGCTGTAGTGTCGGGTTCAACCTCTGTGTAGCCAGCTCAAATCCATTCTGGTTGGAAGATCAAGGCTCCTGGGACTTGCTCTTATAATTGGCTTTCAAAGTACCCTTGAGCAAGTCACTGAGTCTTGACCCATCCATCCTGTGCATGTGCTTACTACATCACTCGCTCACTGCAGCTACTCCCCCAGGCCACTGTTATAAATAGCAATGTCTTAGTCGACATGCTGCTTAAACAGTGGTAATGCACCAAGTTGGCATCAAGAAGCTCGCCCTTAGACACAAATATGCATATAAGGATACACAATCAAAGTTAAACTTAGGCTGGGTGATAAAACAATGAGAACAATTTGTCTGATATTATTTTCTTTAATAGCAATATAACAAAGGTTCAACATATGTCAACATAAAGTAGATCCTTTGCTCAAGCACGTTGAGAGGTGTAACACAGGTTTTAACTGCCAAAGAGATCATGTTTTCTGTCTGCTTGTTTTTTATTTGGTTTGACTGACAGCAGGTTTATGCAAGAACTACTGAATATAACTTGGTGGAAGGATGATACATGAAAACAAACCCCTTCAATTTTGTTGAGGATCTAAAGGGGCAGATCCAGGATTTTTTTCTCACTGTTTACTATTGAGATATATATATATATTTTTTTTCCCACCGATTTCCCAGGCAATAATTCATGGGTCTTGATGTAAAATATATAGGAGACTTCTATGAGTGTGTGCAATTAGGTGCAGCTTGATTGGGTGTAAAGATCTGTTGTGCCTTGGCAGAGGTGTGCGCTTGACTAAGTGATATTCTAGTTTTGAATGATCGACTTAGACTGACATATATTTGTTTATCGACTGGTATTATTTTTTTTATCATGATATAATATTTGGTCATCAGCCTCAGTTGCAGTACTCCCACGTGTTAGCAATGTTTTCTTCAGTGCCTCCATCAAAGAAAAACAAAACCTCTTCATCTCCCTCTTTTCCTCTCTCCTCCACTAGGCCACGTTAGAACGAACTCACCAGGCGCTGGAGGAGGAGAAGAGGAGAACCGTGGATCTCCTTTACTCCATATTTCCAGGTGACGTGGCACAGAAACTGTGGCAGGGTCAGCCAGTGCCCGCTCGCAAATTCGATGATGTCACCATGCTGTTCTCAGACATCGTGGGATTTACTGCCGTGTGCGCCCAGTGCACGCCCATGCAGGTCATCTCCATGCTGAACGAGCTTTACACACGCTTCGACTACCAATGCGGCATTCTGGATGTTTATAAGGTCAGTAGATCTGCTTTGTGTGATGCATTAATACTGTGACTGTGGCACAATGGGATATCAGGTAGGAAGGCAGTTGGATTTCAAAGGAGGGTCAGAGGCCTGGGATTACTTTAAACATTTAATGGATAATGTGGACACCTGTGCAGACTGAGGGCACATCATCAAATAGTAATTGTTTTCCAGGAAGTGACAGTTTCCCAGAAAAGTAGAGCCTTTGTTTCTTGGGTTCTTTAAAGTGCTATTACTTGAGTTGGATCTATCAAGCCTTTAGGGTGTGTCACTTTGTGTGTACTATGTGTGTGTTCTATGTGTGTGTGTGTGTGTGTGTGCTGGTGTTGTGGAAAATGTATCTGATTAATGACCAGTCTGTGGGAGTTTAACAAAGATGTGTCAATATTGTCCATCTGACAGTGTGGCTCTGGGCCCTAGTTACTGTCATCGCTGTGGTCTGCGGCTGTTCCCTCTCTTTACCCTCGTCCTCTACATCCTCTGTCATAACGTCAGACCTTCTCTTCGGTTTTACTCTTTCCACACATCCTCCGTATTATCTCTAAGAACTGTGTCAGCTGTCTTGAGAAAAGGAAGAAGAGATACAGAGGAAAGCCGACAGATTGAATAATATGTAAGAGGGTTTAAGTGTGTAGCAAAGGACAAGCTGCGTGTGTGTGTGTTTGTGTGTTTGTGTGTGTGTGTGTGTGTGTGTGTGTGTGTGTGTGTGTGTGTGTGTGTGTGTGTGTAAGTGTAAGTGTAAGTGTAAGTAAAAGAGACAGCAAAAACAAGACTGAGCCTCCATCTCCCCGCCACATATGTTTGCCTCGTTGATTGTGGAACCCATATGTTGCCATTGTCATGGTTACTGTCGAAACAATTTAGCCGGTGGCGAGCCTTAAAACCAGAGCAGTTTGTCTCCTTGTTTTCTTTTCTCCCTCCTTTTTCTCCCCCTCTACCATTTGCTTTTCTGTCTTCGTGCTGTCCTGACATTGAGCTCACTCGTTCAGCTGGAAACACAGCAACACATCCCTGGAAGTGGCACTCATTGTTGGCTTTATTACCATTTGCTCTTTTAGCTTTAAGTGGATTTTTTTTTTTTACTCCATTTCCAAAGGTACTTGCCACCACTGCAGTCTCTGTTTTTTAAGCCCAACCAGGGACTGGGAATGACTCTGCTTCATGACAGCTGTTGTTCACTGTATTAAAACAATATCTATTGAGGATAAATCCGACCTCGTTGCTGTAGCCAACAAATAAAGCTGTTTTGAAATTACAAAAAATCCTTCACCTTGCAGGGGTGGTGGAGATGAATCTATTTGACTAATTCACCCATATTAATTCTTTTCTATGTGGGAATCATCACATTGCTGTTTAAATTTCAAGTGAGATTATTTCTCATTGGAACTAGAAAAAAGTAAATGATAATTTGCCATGATTTCAGCTGAAAAAGATCACTCCAGATTGATTTGTGAACGCGATATCTCACGAATGCCTTGAGGAAATTTCTTAAAATTTGGTACAAACATTCATGTGCACTCAAAGATGAACTATTTCGAATTTGGTGGACAAATGTCAAATGTCAAGGTTACATGACATCGCTATTCTCTAGTTTGCTTAGTAAACACTAAAGAACACCGTAAGACTTTTTTATTTTTTAATTTGGCACAACTGTTAATATAGACTCACAGATGAACTGATTAGATTTGGGTGGTCAAACATAATCAAATCCAATTTAAAGACCAAAACCAACCAGTCACAAGTACTGTCTGTGTAGCCAAAGCCTGCTGCATATCCATATTCTTTACCATTGAGCTCCATTGTCTGAAAAGAATAAAATACACATAGATAAGCCACTGTGGTTGACATGTTCCTTCATTAGAATTACCATAGGCATAGTTTATTATAAGTAAGTCGGCTGCTTTGAACTTATGAAATATGTATTAATCTGCTACTGAAAATAGTTTAATACAAATCCACTGTGTACTCCTGTTTGAGAGATATTTGCTGAAAAGTACTGTGAAGGCTGGTTCAGGACATTATTTAATTATACAGTGTATTTAAAGCCATTTTTAAAGATTGATGTCTTTAGTAGGAACTAATGGGCTGAGGGCAGAGAGCCACAGACAGGGTAAGGGAGTCATAAAATATTGAGAGATGGACTGATACTGCACATCGCTGGTTTTGACCTTTTCATGAGGTTTGTTGACAATGAGAAAAATATGAAGGAGCACCAGACTTATCCTTTAATTGTGAGTATTTTCTTTATGTTGTGCCTCTGTGTTTTTTACTCCTTAGACTGGGTCAGAAGAGTATTACCGTAATGTTGAATGAACTTGTAAAATAGAGAAACAGTCAGATACTGTAAAGGGCTGCATTTAATCTCTTCTTCTAAGTAGATACGGTGTTTGAGTTGTTGGATTACTACTAAGTTCCATATGCCAGCGTATACTCACACTTATTAAATTCAGTGTCTGCCCCTCCTCCTCCATTTCTGACACAGATCGAGACAATAGGTGACGCTTACTGTGTAGCAGGAGGACTTCACAAGAAGGTCGACAGTCACGCTAGACCAATCGCACACATGGCTCTTAAGATGATGGAACTTTCCGAGGAAGTGCTGACCCCTGACGGGAAACCCATCAAGGTGAGTTTTCCTTCATCCGTACATGACACACTAAACTGGCATGGTGACGTCTGGGTCGGTTCTCTTTAGGATCATTGAAAGAAACATGCAGGAACACAAGAGCCACACATTTACAAAACACAAGTATACAAAAAAAATGTATTTTTAGATTGTTTAGTAATGACCAGTCAATAGTTTTTTCTTTATCCCGTTTCTTCAAATGTCTGATCTCAAAATATTAACATTTGAGAAGCTAGAAACAGTAAATATTTATTTTACTTCCCTCTGCGAAAAGCCTATAGGCCTTTGGACTTGAGTTTGGATGATTGTTGATTGAGCACAATTTTTATTACATGTTTATCTTCCGCCCCTTTTTGACTCACTCACTACATCTGTGCTCTTCAACTGATTTCATTCAAACACTAAAACTTTCATCTCCTTCAAGACATTTCTGCATAAATTCAACTTTTTTGCAATATTCAATTTATTCTGCAACTTTCCTCTCATTCAGGTGAATGGGGAAAGCGTTCCACTCTGAAACTGTATTTTCTAACACATGGACGTGTGTGTCTGCATGATTGTGTCTGTCCCGCCTCTGTGGTTTTACTGGATCAGAATATGTTTGTGTTGGGATTTGCTCATTATTGACGTTCTCAAAAGTTACACAGACAGTCAAGGTTACAGCACTACAGGCTGTGTCATGGAAGTTGCCATGGTGATAAAGGAATATATTGTCGGGCAGGTTTTGTGTCGTGATTGACATATTTTGGATGATGGATGGATGGGCTGTTGAAAGGAGGAACATGGATGATATCTTTGTGGGACATCTGAATTGACAGGTGGATGGATGATATTAAATGTCTTTACTTTTAGCCTTTGCATTTAGCTTTGTGTTGTGGGGCAGCTAGTTTCTTTGTTGAAAAAACATCTGGCACATGTATCTAATTACTGCACATCAATGAGGGAATCTGATCAATAGTATTTAGGGATGAGAAATAATCAACATATTGATTTAGATGTTAATTTTAGAAAAACAAGAAGCAGGATTTTGGTATTTTGGTGTTTAAGGTATACTTGTGCATGTGTCATTCAACCAAAAAAAACTGTGTAGAATCAACAGATGAGCGTCACCTAGCATGTACGGACACGATTATATGTGTACTGTGTATGTGTGTGATGCTTTGTGCTATTTCTGGACCATATATGCTTCTGTTGTTGTTATCCTTACCTGTTTCCTTATCTTTATTCTGTCCTCTTTTTATTTTGTCCTTTTTCTTAATGCTTCCATTTTGTGTTGCATAAAGATGAGATAGATTTACTTCACAACCTCCAGTGCCACTCGACTGGCACTGTTGCATGTTTTTTTGAATTGAATACTCTTTTCTTTAGTTTATTTCAGGTGTTGCATTGAATTTTCTGTATTTTACCATAGTACTGCATAATATGCAATATAAAAAGTTCCTTCTGCTCTATTTCTTTTACTCTCATGGTTTATTTTTGAATGTTCTCAATGGGACACTTGAAACAGTTATGTAATGTTGGACCTGTTTTTCATCACATGCTCTGCAGCCGGTGCTGTGAGTGTTGATCCACCTTCAGCAGGTACAACTGCTAAAATCTATTGTCAAGAAAATATTGAACCATATCAGGTTTTTGACTGCATATAATAATGCTAGTGCAGTGCCTGTTGCAAACCTGCCTGTATAGAATGGGCTGTTTGTTTGGCTTTTACTGATGCTGGTTGCAACTTTCTTTTTGAAACTGTAAAAGTGGCCTGCAGCAATTGAGCTTTAGAAAGTAAAGACGGACTGCAGGACTCAGTCCAGAGAACCCTGAAGCTGAGACACAGCTGCTGCATAAAGAGCTGTTCACCTGTTTATTCAAAGTGTATTAATATTGAATGTGTCCATATTTCACCAAATCCTACGCTGCACTTCCTTGGGCCCTTAAAAATACACATGCAAGGTATGAAACATGTAGATGAATGGTTCTAGAGATATACGAGCCACATACAGACAGACAGAGATTCCTGTTATTATTTTATGGATTTACAGAGTTATGACTGATGTTACAAAAAGATGAACTCAAAAGCCAACTGAGTGGTGTATGACTTAAGGGAAGGAAAGCAGCACAATCGAAGGAAGTGAGTTTAAATCCCTCATGTTAATTCATTAGAATGAAAAGAGAACACAGGATATGATTTATTTATGTTTGTTCTCTATCCTGGCTCTTTCAAGGTCACCACCTCTCTTTGGGCTGCCTTGGTAGTGTTGTGGGTTTTACATGGAATCAATGCCCTAAATATGAGTCAAAATCATGACCTAGAATATGTTGCATTTTATTTCTGGTTCAGTGAAACAGAAACAAAAATTGTAGCATAGCAAGGGAGAAAGACGATTAGAACGGCGTCATTGTTGTCATGCTGTTTAATTGTATTTTGTCGTATTACAGGACTAGACTGGTTTTATACTATGTTTTTTTGTTCCTGTGGACAACTCTAAGGAAATAGAAATAGCCTGTGTAGGTGCACCGTTTACCTCTGTTATCTGAGCCTTTTTTTAAATGGAAATCACATATTTGTGACTTGCTTTTACATATTCAGATACATGAATGGACATGGAGCTGAGTAGCATATTTGAAAAGTAGTTACACATTGTTCAAATATTGTGGCTTCTGGTCTTTTCATGGAATTTGGAGAAAATAAGAAAAAACACTAGCGTTATTCTTTTTAATGTAACACCTTGAGTTGAACATGTGTTTTTATGTTTGATAAGACTCTTTATTTGGAGCTGAGCTCATTTACTTTTGACTTGTTTAAAAATGTACATAAAGAATGACTTGGCTGGAACAGAGCATGAAAGTGTGAGAGAGAGCGGCTAAGACAGATAGCTGCTGAATAACAAACAGGACACTGTTCTGTGTACTGCTGTGCTCCTAACATTGTCCAGTTGTCTCAAAATAGAAAAGCCTTGCCAAGCATTTTTTGTCTTTCTCTTTCCTCTTCATCTGTCTTGCACCTCCACACTTTCCTTTACAGCCTAAACCCTCCCTTTTAATTTTCCTTTGCAGTTTCCTTTTCCCTCGACATTTTGCGCTCTCTGTTTTTCGCTCCTCTCCTCTTGTCTTATCTATCGTCCCTTCATGTTGGTATGAAGGAGAGTTATAGGGATATTCAACACTTCAGCATGATAAATGCTGCTCAGTGAGTGCACTCAACTCCAGCCAATTTTGCACTGCTATACAAACTAGTATGAGAGCTGTGATTGAGAGCTGAGAGAAAATTTAGTTTAGTTTAGCAAGGAAGAAACGAGGGAGAGAGACAGATCCAGGGACAGAGAGATACAGAGGAGTGAGATTTCAAGAGAGACACACGTACAGAAACCAAGCATTAATAGTTGTTTTCATCTGTTGTTACTGCACTTTCAGGCTTGGAGCATGAGTGTGCTCATGTTAGTGTCAATATCTGAGAACTTTTATTGTTGGTGTTAAAGGGGAATTCTGGTATTTTTTAAGCTGGGCACTATGTTTATAAATGTGGGTGTGTAAATAAATGGTACTTAGATTTTTTTTTGAAACTGGTCTAGCAGTTCACCTCCGCTGGTAGTTGCAACATGACAGCAGTGGCTACAATGTAATCTTATGGGGCAAGTGCGACAGTCCACGAAATGTCAACTAGAAGTATTTTTTTTCAACAATTAAAGGCTCAAACATCTTTGCTAAGAGCTTGGCAACATAACACATGTCTCGTGCAACCATTCATCTACACACCCAAATTTATAAACAGGGCCCAGGTCGAAAAATTTCCCTTTAAAAATACCCAACTGTCGAGGGTTTACTCACCATAAGTTGTAGAAACTATAGTAACTTTGATACATGTTCCTATCTGCACTTTCTGAATGAGATTATTATTTATTTAAAAAAATATACAGGGCTGAATTTAGTTGTTTACATGTGTTTATGAGGACCTGTAAATATTAAACCTTAATCCAGCATTAGCTGAGCATTCTGGATTCAGAAATGATCAGGAACTTGTCATGCCAAACTAAAGTGGCACATTCAGTTCTGCAGGACACACATTTTCTTCCCCAGCATTCTCGTATGCTGATGTGTGTGAATGAAGGAAACCGGTTTAGCAAAGCAGCAGTTGCTAAATTATTAACATACTGTACTGTGCAGGGAACTGAATGTAAATTAAATCTAATTATTGGAGACTGTGCGAGCTACATACAAGCACGTAACAATATGTAATACAAAGGACCTACAATACTATTAGCACTGTAGCCTACTATGATTATCATAATTGATTAATCTGATTATTTTTTCAATTTATGTATAAAATGCAAATCCATTAGCCCTGCAATAATTCCTACCTTAATAGACCATATTCACACGGTGGCCATTTCCCTCTGACTTCCAGCTCAGGTTGGGAAGCTCAAATGCAGAATAATGTTGTACTGATGTGATTCACATCTATAAGTCATATAAACACTCGACTCTCACAGATCATTTCACAGTTGATCAGCAACCGAAAAGACAACGGATAGTTTTGAGGAAATGGGACCATGTTTCAAGGTTAATTATCAGAGTTTATTAGCTACCATTAGACACAGCTTATATTACCATTCCACCACTTCCTAGCCAGGAGGTCTGTATTTATATTGAACTATTGATGCATGTCTTAGACACATTTATATAAGCCTGTAAGTAACATATACTTGTTGTAATCAAGCTTGCAATGTAATGCTAAGCCAGTAATGTTATGTCACATTCATAAACTAACATCAACACAAAAGTTTGTTTCAAGCATTGGATTGAAGATTTGCCATTCAGCATTAGGTCCCAAGTCTGTGAATATGGTTTCAAGTTGAACTGAGTGGTCACTGTAGAAGCACCATGGTGCCATGCTGTGCTCTGTAGGATCAGCTATTTCTATTGTCTGGTCCATCCCTCTTATATCAGTTAAATAACAGAAACACATCTTAATTATGTGCACAAACTACATCCTCAAAATATTCATAGAGCCGAATCAAGACGTCTGTAAAACAAAAACGGAGCATTGCAACCTTAACACAGGTTATCTGTAGGACTGGGTGCACCTAATAAACAACAGTGACTCCATAACAACTTCCTCCTCTCTCTGCCTCTTTCTATCTCCATCTCCTCATCCTCCCGTCAGTTTAGCCGGAGGCTGGACTGTGATTTGTTGCCGCACCATTTGCTCATTGGCTCGCACAGGACCATGTGCTGTGGATGCTGACTCACAGCAAAAAAGGAGGGGAAGAGTGTATGAGTTGTTACCGTGTCTGCGTTTTGAGACAAGAAATAAAAGAGGAGAGTGGGCGCTGGATACAGATTTGTTTGTGTGTCTGTGAGTGGTTGTCTGTTGTGAAGACAGACAAGTGCACGGCCATCTGGAAGCAGTTTAGCTGAAAATAGGTCACAGTGGTGCACCTACCAGCCTGTGCTCCCTTGCTTTCTGTCTCTCGCGGTTTCCTTATCTCTCCTCCAATGATGTCAAGGTTTTACCATCAAATTATACGTTTATTCTCTCTCTCTCTCTCTCTCTCTCTCTGTATCCATTGTCTTTCTTTCTGTCCTTCCATCCGTCTGTGCTCTTTCTACCTCACTACCCCCATCACATGTTGTTGCCATGACTACCTGGTAGTGTGCTGGCATGCCGGCAGTGGCGTTGGTTGCCGAGGTGATGAGCTCCTCAAGTGGATCTTTAGAAATCTACCGGGTGCCACTGGCTATTGTGCATGTGCATTTGTGTGTGAGCATGTGCGTGTTGTATATGCATATGTGATGACAAGCGGATGAGATCAATAGGTCGGTTCAGAACAAGATCGCCTTTGTGCTGCAGGAGAGGCGGCACATGAATGAATGTCATCGGTTCAGTTCAGAGAGATGATCTAACACATTCATATTCACAACAGAGTCAGGTGTGTTGTTGTGGTAAAGGTTAGTTATCTTACAGAAGATGACAGGAGGGATTCATTTAGTTTGCTGACATTGACTCACAGTGAGAAAAGACCAGGACAGCAACTAAGGATTTTCATTATCAGTTGAAGCATCTTTGAAGCATCTGCTGAACAGTTTCTTTATTAATTGTTCAGTATAAATTGATTCTGTTTGACATTATATATTTAAATTCCCTATGATTCCAAGCAATAATACAAATGATATTAATTTTCCTATCATACTGAATAGCTGTTTTCTGACATGAACTCTGGGGTCTGGACTTTCTCCTGCAGATATTATGTGTGAAAAATGCAGCAGGAGATTCTCTGGGTCAGATGCGTTCACGACAGTTAATAATTTCCAGTGTTACGGCGAGGGGTGGCAGGACATAAAATATAAAGTCCAATGCAGAGATCAAGGGTTTTTGTTGTGCATAGCAGATCAACATTCATCCGTCTTCCTCCATCCCTACTCTCATTCCATCATCCTTTTTCCCCTACTCCTACATCCTCTCTTCCTTCCCTCCTTCATCTCATATTCAGTTTAGTACATGTCTTGCATGTCTGTTTACAGGCTGGGGGGGGGGGGCGTTATTAGCTTCCTTCGCTTTGTCACCTCAACCCCTTCACCTCACCAATTCAAACCTTCCATCACTTATTGTTGGGGCCTGGTCCTAGTTAATGTGTCGAAGCCACAATAACAACATAACTTCTATTTTCAAGCCAAATGCATATTAAAAAAATATGAATAAAATAATATTTCGAATGTACTTTTTGAAATGTGCTTATTACATTATTGCTCTAATCGCTCTACTTCTCTTCTATCTCTTTCTTTATATTTCTTCACAATCTTCTCCCACAGCTGAGGATAGGTATCCACACAGGCTCGGTGCTGGCAGGTGTGGTCGGGGTTAAAATGCCACGTTACTGCCTGTTTGGGAACAATGTGACACTTGCCAGCAAGTTTGAATCGGGGAGCCATCCGAGGTGTATCAATGTTAGTCCCACGACTTACCAGTGAGTACCTGCAAACATACAGTCATCCTGTAGACGTATAGTACACACTTATGTATACATTTTCTTTTAACGTATTATCTCCTCTCCTCTCCAGGTTGCTGAAAGATGACCGTTCTTTCTCGTTCATCCCTCGCTCACGATTGGAGCTCCCAGAGAATTTTCCCAAAGAGATCCCAGGGATGTGTTACTTTCTGGAGGCAGGGACTTCTCATAGCCATGCCTCATTGACCAGCTCCCGCTCTGCTCCCCCAGCCTCTATGAGGAAAGTCTCCTATAGTATCGGGACCATGTTTCTAAGGGAAACAAGTTTGTAGGCCTCGTACACGGACTGGGTTGCGCAGGTATTCAGTATGCGAGAGGCTGGATGTGGACATGGGGAACACGCAGCAGACCGATCAGTCAGATCTTTGGATATGCAATATGCATTATGTGAAAACTTGGATTAAGGCCTGTGGGATGGCCTGTGTGAAACTTAAAAAAAACAACAAAAAAACATGCCCTCAAATTCCCCTGTGCAGGGGAGACATGGTTCAAAAGACTTGTGGCACAGCAACATGAATCCTTCCCCAGGGAAGTGTACTGATTAGTGGTGAAACCTTAAAATAAAACGTGATATCCAGATGGATTCCTCAGCTTCATATGTGGTTTCCAGCTCACTCCAGTGGTCCGCTCTCCTAAAAGCTACCATTACGTGGATCTGAAGCTTGGGAAAAACTTGAGGAGAGAACAATTACATGACCAGTGTTGAACTCATTAACGTTGGAATTGCGCAAGTAGAACAAATCCACTCTCCGTTAACAAAGTGGATGCTGAGGAACGAAGTTGTTCGAACTTATGGGAGATAACAACATGGCTTCTTGAATGAGGATGACCACTGCTGACGAACACTACAGCTCCCTTACTCGCCTTCCAACTGTCCCTAAATCATGTCATGCTTTACTGAACACAATCCTAACATCTGCTGCTTGTTACACCCATCAGCCAACCTCAGACCCAGTTGGTCGGGGCGGAGAGAGACTAATGAGAGGCACAATTAAGGAGGTAGATTTGAAAAGGGGTCATTTAAGGATAAATGCCAAAAAAACAACAAAAAAACAAATGCTGATATTAAGAACATTTTCTGCTTCTAACCCACAGCAAACTGTAACCAACAATGATCCAGTCATTTCATTGCAGGTAATATGTTTAGGACTGAAAATTATTCCCAGCTCAGTGCCTTTTTACTGCTCAAATCAGGACTAAAACAAGATGGATTCATTTTAAATATTTAAAAATAAAGAAAAAAATATATCTTGCGTTTCCCAGATAAAGCATCTATGTGTCCTTAACTACACAGGAGAGTCGTATGAGGGAAAGTTATGTGCCAAAGTTTATGAGCCACATTTAAACCCTTGATCTTGCAAGTCACTGGTACCTTATCCCAGCGACCCACCAGGAATCCCAACAAGCTGTGCATTTAATTTTGACACAGTCATTGTCACTATTATTGACTAGCAACATAAATCAAGTGCTCCTCAAAGTGATACAATATTTGAAATTTGATCCATCTGTTTTAGTCCAGATCAACCAATAATAAACACAATATAGTACTAATAATATAGTGCTATGCTAACTTGTACATGTAGTCACAGTATGCACGCTTGACACGGTTCACATTTACACATACAAATCTTTTTTAATTGCATTCTTTTTTACCACATAGATACAAAAAAGTATATACCAGCCCCTTGCAAATATAAATAACAGTAAAACAGTAAAATTCACGTCTACCGGTTTATTGGTAGACTGAAGATGATTTACTCACTTCAAATGCTTCAGCGTAGCTAAGTAACCGACACATTGGAAAGAAAAAGTATTTTTTTTTGGTCAAAGTTTTGTCAAAGAAATCATGAAGTGGGATGTGAAGGGTTAAAGTTGTCTTTTAATATTTTACTGAATTGCCCACTTGGGTAAATATTTAATGTAACTTGCATTACATTGCTGCCAGTGTTCTTCAGAAGTGAAGTCCAAATCAAATATCAATGCCAGAGTTCAAATAAATGGCAGTTTACAAGCCGATGGAAAGTAATATTACATTTTTATATCATCAAAAGAGAGTTTTGAACATCTATCTCACATCTTACTCATGACTAAATCATAATAATAATAATGGATGAATAAATAATACATTAATTCAAGTAATTGTTGAAACTGGCAAAATTCTCTTTTGTGTAAATCAGTAAGAACGTGTTGCCATTTCACTACATTTTGCCAAACGACATGCTGGTTGCTGAGCCTCTAAATGATGCCATGTAATGTGCCATTTGAATTCTGAGATCACACCAGCAGCTTCTTCAGTAAAGGTTCGGTTCCCACTGTTGTAATATTATGAATTTTTCTCCTAGAAATACGACATTATTCTCGTACTATTACCGCTTTATTTTTTTTGAAATATTACAACTGTATTCTCATGATGCTATTACTTTATTTTCCTTGTTATATTATTTTCACTGCTCATCAATATGGCCCTAATACTCCATTACAGAACGAGAAATTGGTTCACTATTGATTAGATCAGAAGAATTTGATTTATTTATCCGATTCTTTGAAAACAGTAGCATCAGATACGCTTTCACTTTCACATCACATGTTCTTTGAAGGTCTTGCTGGCAATTAGAACAAAGAAAACAAATATATTTTTGAGAATATTTTTTCATATACCCCATACTTACTCACATTCCCATAAACAGAAATAAGTTGATCCAATATTTAGCTGTTTCCTGTGGCTTAAAGTATACTATGCATTATTGAATTAACAATGGACAGTACCGTCAATAAAAACACCTGAAGATAAATCCAGTCAGTTATTAGCCGAAAATTATCATTCACAAACATATACAAATAAGGTGTAGTTGAAAGAGTCATATTTTTGGGCCAGTGAAATCTGCATACAATGTTTGTGTGCTCTTAAAAATGTCACAGTGCGGAAACAGGACTAAAATTCAAGCGTACACCCAGGTGTCGTCAGAGCTGAACCATCTTGCTTCGTAAACATGAAGGTCTTTACATAGTTGATGCTGCGATATTTTAAATCTTGTATATATAACTTTAAAGACAAGTGGAAACTCCAAATTTTAATCAGTAGATTCTTTTAGTGGAGGCTACATGTGATGAAAGCAGCATAATTTGTCCACATTTTAATCCTTTGCAGAAACAAAGACAAGCTGCTCAGACCTAAACAGTCAGCAACATTTATACTTTTTGTGCTAAGAACCAGAATTTCCAACACCCACCTGTGAAATCAATAGTAGCTGATCATAAGGTAATATAATACTTTTTTCAAATGCTTGTGAGGCCACATGGGCTTTTTGTTATGAAAATGATATATTAGGACAAAGGAAACCATAATTTGCCCCTTATTAATGTGGATTAAACCAGAAATACATGGTAAATAGCCATTGGAAGATGCACAGCAACAGGAAAAGAACAATTATTATACGTAAGAATATAAACATCTGATTGAAGAATGATGAGTACATGCCAGTTAATGATGGTCAATCATGACCACAGTGTGAACAGGGATAGCCATTGTTGACACATTTGACTGCCATTGAAAGCCTTGAATTAAATTTTCATAAACAAATGCAAATTTACTGTGGCAAAATTTGAGCATGGGCACTACACAACACTTCTGTCTGACAGATAGGGCTGAATTTCCTGAAGGTCCTAACACAGTAGAGTAGGTGAAGCAGTCTTAAGTGTATTTGACAGTTGAGCCTGCGGGGTTGGTCTTTTTTCCAAGGGATGATTTCCCATATAGAGTGGGCTCTCCGGCTGTCACCCTGGTACCATTCTACACAGCATACATGCATTGATGTGGATGTAATAAATCTGCTGTAGCATAAATCTAGTGCAGGTGTCATTTACACTCAACTTCAGCTGGTGTCTGATTTCTGCATCTGAGCTAAATAAAGGATGTTACAGCAGCGTTACGCCCACGCAACTTGTGTCCAATGCTCATGTCTCCAAGTGTGTAAAAATCCTGGCATAAGATAAGACATTTGGTCAGAGTTGTCTCGCTGATGCAGAGGCTTTGTACTGGTTCTCTGCCGTGTTGTCAGTCATGCTGTCTAAACTGTGTCAAACACAAACGTTGTTGTCAGCCCTTGGTGAGCGTGGGCGGGCCCAGTGTTGAGTGAGAAGAAGACAAATACATTCATAAGTCCAGAAACTGTCTGTCTGTATGTCAATCGGTAAGAGAACCATAGACTGTGAATTAAGATGGACGACACAACAGCTCCTCAAAAGTGAATGTCTCAAAATGTCTCAATAGCCACCTTGTAGCTGGCTGCAATAAAGGTCATAAATATTGCCTCCTCCATGTTAGCGAATGGGAAGTCATAGTTACTTGATGTTTTAAAAACAGGGTGAAACTGTTGGTTTTTTTCTATCTTGCATGGTCTCTCAGTTTGAGAACAGGACTTATTGATTTCACGTTCACTTTTTGTAACACTGTCACTCAAACCCCCTGAGCATGCACTCAAATAAATCCTTCTTGTTCTTAGATTTCCTGCGCTCCAGCTTCAGCTCCCTGTGCTCACGCTGCCTCTGTGCGAGCTGAAATGTCCTCTGCTCTTTGATTTTGTTTTTGTCCAACCAATAAAATGTCAAGGAAGCAGCAAGGTGTGAGGAGAACAGTTGCAGCTGGAGCACATGAAGTCTAAGCACAAGCTATTTGGGGCTATTTGAGTGCGAGAGCAAAGTTTTGAGTGAAAGCATTGCAAAATCTGAATGTGAAAATAATAAGTCCTGCTCTCAAATTGAAAGTCAATATGAAATGTCATGATTGACTCCATCAGGCAATCGTTAATGTGCAGACTCTGGCTTCAAATGGGATAGCACCCAGGATATTTTGGCTTTATTTTTGTATGGTGGAAAGATGCAGGGACGTGTCGTCCATCTTTCTATACAGTCTATGATGAGAACATATTGAGTTTGGCAATATACAAACATACAATAAACATCTGCTGTACCTGTATTTAATATATTAAATCTGAAACATGGAAACTGTAATAAAATCAGTTTCTATATTTCTTTGGTATAATTCACAAAATGATTTGAGATTTTTACATTTTCCACTGCTTTGTGTTATTTTGCAGCCAGTACATTATGTCAGTTTTTGTGCCATCTGGAATAAGGCTGGTGTTCCCAACATTCCAATATCCCACAAAACCTTCCTACTCTCCAGCAAAGTTCCTTTTTTCAATAATCAAAGAAAAAATATTGTTTTTTTATTGAAACTATTGTAATATTCTACATCACATTTTGAATGATTTTCTTTATCTTAATGAGCATGACACTGTCATTTTTATTGAAGAAAAAAATTAAGTTGCTTAACATGTGTTTTCTGCAGGACATTGTGATAAAGTGTCTTGTTGCCGAGATCAAGTTCATCCCCACTCACTCGCAGTGCAGTGGGCCTGGTCCCTGTTGGTCTGACATTAGCCTCATTTTAACAGCAGGAACAAACATGATTGATGCTTGTTGTCCATGTCCAGGGTCAGAAAAAACCCCAGCTCTCTGGGAGGTTGCACATTACTCCACTGATCCACAGTCTGTAAACATTCATCCACATGAGAGTTGTAGCTTCTGTGACATTTGTTCTTCAGCTTAGGTTGAAAGAAACAAAAATATTAGTGAAAGTGATCATCTTTTCCCTTTGGGACTTCACGTTGGGAACTATACAGGCCGATGTCACGTGTCAAAGATCTGGTCATTGTTTTGTATGATATCACATTGCAGACGTGCAGGTTTGACCCTGGACGCAAGCGTTGCTGTTAGAATCAGGTTTGTATGAGGAAGAGGCTGAATGACAGCTGTTGGTTTCTGACTGATATTAAGGGAACATCTTCTGTATTACATGATGTAAATAAAAAAACACAAGTATCTTTAATAAGGAAGAAAGACTCTGGCTGTTCCTGTTCATACATGCATTTTTACATTTGTATAAACATGTGTGAGTGTGTTATAAAAGTAAAAACAAAAGACAAAGGCATACGGATTGGTGTTACATTAATTGCAAACAGTAAATTGAGTAAAGGTGTGAAAGGTTGTTTGTCTCTGTATGTCGGCTCTGTGATATGTCCAGGATGTACCCCGCCTCTCACCAAATGTCAGCTGCGATTGGCTCCAAGGCCAACTCCCCCTGTGACCCTC